AATTTTTTGTGTGTGTTCAAGGGGATCTGGGAATGGTTTAGATTCACAATTTGAATAATAATTTTCATCAAAAAAATTATTAAAAAAAGTTTGAAATTTTCAAATTAAAGACGTGTAGACAGGACAACGTCTGTCGGGTCCGCTAGTATACATATAAAACAAAGTCGGCTTTCTTACAACACTTATAACTCGAGAACGGCTAGACCGATTTTCATGTTTCCGTGTTTTTATTGTCTCCACCTCGAATAGCAGAATAACTATTAAAACAGAAATATTCACAATAAAATTAAAATTTACATGGCTAACGCTGCCTAATAACTATTTATATTTAATTAAAACGTACCTAGCGATGAACCCGAGCAGAATATTATGTATTTCATTATAAATTTATTTTATTATAAAACTTAAAAAAAATCTTAAAGTATCAAGATTTATCATTTCTATTGCAATACCCAAAATAACAAAAGGTATAGTGCCTTCTAACGGACTTTTTGATGCATCGACCAGGATTTCTTCCTCGTGTAAGGTAAGGAGTATCCATACATTATATTATGTTTAGAATTATTATTATTTTCATTTTCCCACGAATATAATATTCTTTATAATTTTTTAGGAAATAGGTTTATATATTATACATTTCGTTTATTTAAAGTACTTGTTCATAAAATCTTGTTAATATAACAAATATTATCGAAATAAATAAAAAAATACGAGCACGTACTTCAGTAGTACTATGAAGTTTTTAAAGTATTGCACAAATCTAACCTACACTTCAGTTGAAGAGCACTTGTGTTTAAGTAAAGCTAATTATGTCTTAGCGAGAAGAGGATACTTTAGTTAAATATCGATTTAAATATTAACTCATTACTTACTATATATACTATAACAACACATACTTTGGCAATGGTACTGTTTCAAAATAGTCACATTTGCAAGGTACGGTAATGTGATTTAGTACCCGGGATTGATACAGACCAAAGGGACGTTTACTTTAGAAATTGATTCACGTTTTATATAGTTTTATAAACGGTAGTAGAGTTCGCTGAGTGGTCAAACTTCGACCATGATTATTATCGATATTTCTTAAAATGGAATGCAAAGTTTTTGCTTTACGTATTAATACATAATTCTCAATTTCACCACAGACTTAAACAATAAACTAAAGAGTATATATGCGTGTGTGTCAAATACATGGTAGTGTGTGTAATGTTTTTTTTATTGATTTAATGTATTTTTTATGTATAATTAAAAAAAAATAGCGTTCTGCACTCCTTCTCTATATAAGTAAACTATAAGTGTGGGAAATTTCATACTCCTCCATCCGCGCAATTTTCGTAAAAATGGGTACTAAGTTTTTGCTTCACGTATTAATATATACGAGTAGATATTCATTTATTTTAGTGTCAAGAGATAAGAAAAGGTATTTATACTGACATTATAACTTCACGAATTTTATCTTTCTCCAGCTATCGTTCATGTCTGCGTTCCTTTTTAAATATTTACTATTTATTGAGATGTTCCTTGCAGACGTTTGTCAATGTGGGTTTTAATTAATTATTTACGTTTTTTAAATGATAGTGTTTTTCGTATAAAAATTACCGTGTTTCTCATTTTGCAATATTTATTTTGTATAATATGATTTTCTTCTTAGTCGTTACAGTTTTGACAGACTGGTCGTGGTCATCATTTAGGTCTTGTAACCCGCTCGACTATTCGTCTCCACTCCTCTCTAGTATTTGCCATTCTCGCACATTCATGGACGTAACTGCCGTTATGACTTGGTATACTTAGATTATTATAAATAATCCAAGTTGGCATAATAAAATATTAATTATTAAATATTTTATAATTAGTCAAATATTCTGAAAGTAAAATTTTATTACATTAGTTAATAAAATTTTAGATGACACGTTTGGCTCAGTTTGTAGCGACCCTACTTACTATGCCAGCGGTCGCGTGTTCCAGTCCCGCTGGGGGCAGTCATTTGTGAGATAAGCACGAATGTTTGTACTCCAGTCATGGGTGTTTATGTTTATAATATGTATATATTTAAAGTTACATATGTGTTGTGTAAAAACTATCTAGTATCCAAAACACTTCGAATTAGAATTAGATGGTATTGTGTGTTGATGTCCCAACATATTTATTTATTTATAAAAGTTCAATTATTTACAATATAAAAAATGACTGTGCTTAGATTTCACAGAAACAACAACAAGTTAATCCATTTATTAAAGACGGTTTTAGAATAATCTTTATAAATTGCAACGATTGTAATAAACATTATATTGCAAGTTTATAGCTGGCAACAGTAGTACGATTACTTCTAAATGAATACTTTGCTAGCCTTGCTTTGTACATTATTTATCTATGGAATATTTTATAGTCAATATAATCATATAATAAAAAAAACTTTATTGATTTTTGTCATTTTAAAAATCCCAATCATATTATTTCTGCATTCATATATTGCTCTCATTGAGCCCTCTGGAATAAGTCGAGATGATGGTAAGAGACCTGATAGCCTGTCGCTGGTTCCTTGGGAAAGGGGACGGGCCCTATTGTGGTACGCTACATGCGTTGACACATTGGCCCCGTCCCATGTCAGGGAGACCGCGTCTAAAGTGGGAGATGCGGCGGTGAAGGCTGAACTACTTAAGTTGCGTAAATACACCTCCCTTAGTCAAAATTATGTTTTTATTCCATTTGCTGTAGAAACCCTTGGCCCATGGAGTCATAGTGCTAAGCTCTTCTTAAAAGACATAACACCCCGTCTTATCACCTCTCTGGTGACAGTAGGGCTGGCGCATTTTTCGTCCAAAGAATCGGCATTGCCATTCAACGGGGGAATGCGGCTAGCATTCTTGCCACTATTCCACGCGGACATGACTTGTACAGTAAGAACTAAGTGTACATTTGTTTTGTTTATATAATTACGTATATTTGTAATTTTCTTATTCATATAATTGAAATATTTCTTCAGGTTCAAAAAAGTATAATAGGTTTTATGTTTTAAAATTAATTTAGCACTACATTGTTGTTATGCTCAAATATTTCTTAGAATAAACGATTTATTTTGTTAACTCACGTGTATCAAAAATACTAATCATAGGGAACAGTGCCTAACGAATGGAGCGGAAAATATTTAAATGGAAGCCAAAATAGCGTGCAACGCTGAACCCGTAAAATATGATATTTGATGAATAAAAAATAAGAAGGAATTGAAATTCTTAACGCTCCCGGAAACCGGACGGAGGCAGAATGCTCTAAGTAATGTTTACTAACTTCAAAAATAGTTTACATTTTTCTATAGCCATAAATAATAATTTATTATGAGTTTAATTTTCTAGGGAATCACGGAATGCTTCATATATTAGTTTATAAGTTTCGCAAATAATTTTATTACAATATAAAAGTCGATTTATGTATATATAAGTAGAAAGAACAAAATTATCTACTTTCATATGAGAATAAAGTATTGACGACACGTTTGGCTCAGTTTGTAGTGACCCTACTTGCTGAGGCATTCATTTGTTTGATGACGAATGTTTGTGCTCCAGTCATGGGTGTTTATATTTATAATATGTATTTATTTAAAGTTATATATGTGTAGAGTATCAACAATCTGGTATCCATAACACAGACCTCGTAGCTTACCATGGAACTAGATGATGCTGTATGTAATTTCCCCTACATAAAAAAAAGTTTTGTCTAACCAACTTTTTTAACTATAGAGTACATTTAGATTCTTTAGAAGCTAAAGCAAGGTTAACATTATTTAGTATAAAAAAATCTAAAATAAAAAAGTATTTGCATAAAATATTGTCCCAAATCCCAACCAGATCCCGAAATGCGGCAATTGTTCTGCTCTCCTTTGAAATCTGGTATTTTTGAGTTGGTAACGGCGGCGCATTACAATCATAATGGCTATACCGCCTCACCGTTAACGGCCCGATCTTTAAGCCCAGTTTCACTATTTCACTTTAACCTTTAATTATTTTGATTAACTTTTAGTCCAGTACACATTATAAAAGTAAAATAAGGATTTGTTGTTTAATTATATCCAATACCTATGTGGTATTTTTATTAGTAAATTATATGAACTTTGACCATCAATATTTTATAAATAAATATTGATGCTTAAAAAATATATGCTTAGTGGAAGTTATATAGATAGAATAAAAATAACACATTTTAAACGCCTTTTATTTAAAAACCATTAAAATAATATTATATTACTTTAAATATTTTGTCAAGTAAAAATTATTTCGTATTGTATCACTGGGCCTAGCGGCTTTTGTAATACAAAGCTTTATAAGTAGGTCATTAAGCGTTCAGCAATTTGGCTGCATTAGCATAGGGGTTTGTTTTAAGGGGTTGCTATTCAGGGGATGTGTTCTAAATAGTGTGATTAAAATTATTGAATGTCGAAAATTAGAGGAAAATTTATTGTCTTTATAACAAAAAAGGAGATCTATACATAAACAAAAGAAGGTGTCGATAAAAGCATTTAATTTATTATTCGTAAAACTATTATCTAACATCACATAATTTTTAGCTAAAGGCACTGAATAAAGTTATTATCATAATTTGTATTATTATAAGGTGCCCTATTACATTGTTATTTACAATTTAAAAATAATTTAAGTACATCTTAACATATTTAAAAATCAAATTATCATTAAATGAGAAGGAATAAATTAACATTTCAAACTTCTTCGATAATTACAATCTTATAGACCATACATAGGTACTCATTACTAGATACTTTAGCTATAACTATTTAAAAAAAGTTATGCAAGTTAAAGGCATTTAGTTCTAAGGTTTTATAGTCGACATTTTATTGAGTGACCGTTACAGAACACCTTGCGCCCGCGTCGAGTACACTCTTTGGCAACGACAGCTGTATGTTTTTTCTAAGTAATTATAATATATTTACATCAGAATATATCCTATCTTCATTGAAATTTTTCTAAACGCTAAAAAGTACTAATACATTAATTGTTATTTTTAGATAGTGAACGAGCTTGTCTGGTTTTTTCTTGCCACCACTTTAATGTTTCTTCGAACTGTTCGCGATCCTCTGGAGTCACTTGGATATCTGGAAGCTCTTTTTTTAATTCCACATCACTGAATTGTTGATTATCGAGATACGCTGTTTCTTCTTTGAATTTATATTGATTATTTGATAAAATCAGATCAGGACTTATAGCATCTAATGGCAGCTCCGTATCGTCTTCAAAGTTTGAATGAAGCTGTTGATGAATAGTTTCAGCATATTTTACTTCAAAGCTTCCTTCACTCAGGGGCACATCCGGCTCACAGTAATTTTGTTCAGGAATCACAGTGAACTGTTCAGCCGAGTTGGGGAAAGGAAAGTGAGTTTCTAAGATGTGAGAATTAATTTCTTCTTGTCCTAATAAATCCGATGAAGGTGTAAGAGGTTGACCACTGCCATCTTCTTCCTCGTATAAATGAGGTGTAGAGACCAGTTGGAAAGGTTCTGTTGGCTGTAGGTCAATATATTGTTGTGGTCTCAATTGATGCATTGATCCATCTAATTCATCTTCATCCATATCTTCATCATCAATTGCGGGTGAATTAAGAGAAAAGTAACTTCTTTCTTGACTGTTGTCTCTGGGCGACGATGATGCGGGTGAAGGAAAGGATTCCATCGATGGACGAGATAAATTCTCTTTGTCTGTATGACCTATATTAAGAAGACTTTCCAGATTACGAATGTATTCCACCGCCATTCGTAGTGTTTCCACTTTGCTTAGTTTTTTATTTGGGCCTCTATTAGAATTTGCATTTTCAAATGCAGCTGCCACTTCTTCTGGTATATGACGACGTAGAGCAGCGAATCCATCATTGACTTGACGCACTCTGTTCCTTTCCCGCGCATTTCGTCTTGCAACTGCTAATGGTGTTGGGCTTTTTGCAGTTTCTTCTTGCACGCTTTCGCGAAGCCGAGGTCGTTTTGCTAAAATATTCGTGTTCACAGGGTCAGTAGCACGCACTAATGAAGTCACAGAAACTGTATTTGGTGGTGATTGAACTTTTTGTTTTTTCCTCACTATAATTATTTCACGCCTAACGTTATTTACGTCGTTGTTGCTTATATTCACAGAATTATTCACGGATTCTTGAAGCACCTGCGCCTTGAGAGGTGAATTGCGGAACACGACGACACCGATTGAACTCATTTTCGTGAGATGATTTGTGTTTTTAACATGTTATAACTGTTTATTTTGTATTAGTTTCGGTTTACTAAGATGATGGGATCACGTAGTTAGTTAAGGATAACTGTTCGAAGGATATCTTTGGTTAGATGGCGTCAGAGCGCCGGCCGCGATGAGAATGGCGCGTGCCGTGCGGCCGCACCTGGGGTGGCTCGCAGCTCGCGGGGGGATCAACAGGGGTAGGTACTTACGTTTGCTAGTTGCACACATGCCGTTTAAAGGGCGGAATGGAGCATCGTTGCTGTTCAAAGGTGTAATTTAAGTTTGTAAGTGAATAAAAATATTGTGTTATAATTTTATATGTAAGCAATTTTGACAATAATATACATAACGTATATGTATTTGTATGTATAAATATAAGTAATAAATCTAAAAATGTATGAGGTAACAATTATCTACATAATTATGATAATTTAAAAAAATATATGAATATTATCTAGTACTGATAATTAAATAATATTTTAAATCCGTTTGTCTATGATACGTTTTTTTTGTAAAACGCTCTACAAGGTAGCGTAAGAAATTTTCATCATTTGGCAACTTTACTCAGCAGCAACGATAGACTGATCCGCGAGTAGTAAAGGACAATAATTACATGGGGTGTCGCACCCAGTTACGATACTCTTATGTGTGTGAGTGTGGCACACATACACGTTATATCAGATGAAATGTGTGTAGATACATATATGAAATAACGGGCTTTAAACCGTTCGCATTCTGTAATGGAATTTCGAATGCGCTGGCGCAAGGGTTGTTTGGTACAATTGCTCTAAATTGTCAATTTGAATAACAGTAACTTACTGTACAACTAATTTTAAACTATTCAATTTTAATGTACCAAAAATATATGGCGCGAGTTTAAAAAAATCTAAACAATTTCTGATTGATTGATAAAATGCTAGAATTAATAGTCGACACCAAAATAATATACATATCTTGTTATGCATTATAGTTTGAGTGTAAACACCCATTTAACTGTTTACTCGAGCGAATCATATGCTAGAAATGATTAATTATCATGAACTTTACTAACACTTGCCCTATTATATTGTACATATATACGAGTATGTGTGAGTGCGCCCACGCAGCTGCTTGTCTTTTGTACTTTGTGTTACGGCACGCGCCACTATTCTATGACCACCACTAGTCGTCGCTAACAGAGTTTATAAAACTAGCTATACAGAACTAGCCATTTCGTATAAGCTTTTAAGGTTCATAATGGCAAGTACGCTAATGATTATACCTTTTAGACCAAAATCTTACCGCCAAAATGTATTACGAATAATAATAATTTTATTATAATTTCAATTAATTAGACAAAGTTAAAAAGCCGTAAATTTTTTGCTATATTCTATTTATAATTTCATTCGGGGTCGTTTTGATTATAATAGAAACAAAATCTTCAGATTTACGTCTGTTTATTCGTTTGATAAAATCTCTTTTATTGTCGTGTAATAGAATGATTAAAATATTTTTTCATCTTCGCCCGTCCACTGCTGGATAAAGGCTCACGTGGAAGGCATATAATATGTATCCTTTGCATTAATCCAGCATATTATGGACTATTTCTAATCCCACTCAAACACGTTAGGCCGTTATCTAGAATAGGTCACAGCTTTAGCACACACATTCGACCAAAAATTTTCCAATCTACACGAATATTATTCTTTATAATAAAGTTTGTAAGTTTGTGAGTTTGTTTGTAATGGATAACATAAAAATCCACTGAAATGATTTAGATGAATGGTATGAATATTGTTTGAGACCCTGGGAAGGACATACGATAGTTTTTATCCCAGAAATATGGGGAATCAATCATTTCTCAAGTAAGGGATCTATAACTCATCATACCAAAAAAAACAAAAACTAATATATACATAGTCTATTTTTTCCATACTAACCGTTAAAACGTACCTAGAGAAGAAATTGAGCGAAGCGAGGGTGAGTCGCTAGTTTATAATATTAACGTTATGCGAAGGTGAACTTTTTAGTTTTTTTGATTGCTTAGTGTTTCCTTTTCCCTGAAAACTATACACTACTGAATAAAAATATGTTGTTTTCATAATATATTCATAAGTCTTGCAATAATTAACTCAGGAGTGGGTCAGTAAGTACTTCTTAATAAATCATTAGAAAACTAAAAGTAGAAAATTATCAAGACCTGAGTAAGTACTTTAGACGACTTTCTACGATTGTTATCACTATTCGAAAACTAAGAAACGTATGACGTATCTAACAGTTATGTCAGCTGATCAGTGGGCTTAGACAAGATGTCATTCTGTAGTCATTGAAGTATAGAAAACTAAAAAATATATATTATGTAGGTATAATGTTTAAGAATGAAATTATTATGATTCTATGATAACACGATTTTTGTTATTTCTTTCAGACATGTTGTTCCACCAGGCAAATAGAATTTTCACAACAATATACATGCAATAATGTAAAGTTTAATAATATTATTATTATACATAAATTAATAGATATTAAAACAAAACATTTAATTTTGCAAACAACCTTATAGAATATTTTACAAATATGATAAAATTTGCAAATATGTAGGTATCTTTAAATACAATATTCCAAAATATATTTTATACTTCTAAAATTGATTAGATTCGCACTGAACACGCTAGTAGTCTTGCGTTCGATTCTTGTGCTGGGCAATTGCAGTATGTATTCTATTTCTTGTTCTGGAAATTTAACTACCTAACTATCGCCATCAACCTCCCAAAATCATGATATTGGCAGGAAGCGGAAAACGATATGAACTTTCAGTATGGCATATAACTTAGATTAAAATATAATCGCTTTTCGCTCAACGCCTGTTATTCTTTTATAGCAATACTAACTATAGTGAGACGATCTTGTAAGGCTTTAAGGCGTATATTAAGAAAGATCAACGAATTGGCCATAATATTACAGCAAGAAAACACGTTACTTATATTTAGGATCCTTAATATCACACATTTTTGTGTTTAGAGTATTGTAATTGTTTATTATATTATTGTTTTAAAATATACGGTTTATTTACGGTCTTTTAAAACAAATATATCCATATATTTTGAAATATCTGAGAATATATATTTTGTGCTACGGAGAGAATAAGATATGCATTACATTCTTCAAAGCTAAGCCCTAAGCTTCTAAAATATGTAAAGCATACTGGCAAAAACTCTACTTATCACGTAACATTTATTCTATACCATTTTTTCTTAGTTTATTAATTATGTTTATTGTTTATGCCTCAATCGTCATGTTATGATGTTTTGAAATAAATATAAGATAGGTATTTTATATTTACTTATAAAATTTAAGAATATAATAAAATTAATAACGTACTTCCTTTTAAAAGTTAAAAAGCTTTATTATTATGTAGCCTTGCTCATTAAGATTATAAGCTTTAGGAGTGCGGTCTTCTAATACTTTGGGAGTGCATCCTGTAATTCAAGTAACTTTTTTCGCTGACAATCCGCTCAGTAAGGTGAGTCTTGCCATCTTGCGAACATGTGGGGCCCGTATAGCGCACTCTATAGTACGACGACGAGGGATTAAAGCTATATTTAGTATACCACATGTTAATGGCTCTTCAGGAAGGTGTAGCAAATCAGTGCCATGTGATTGCATGTGTATTAGATGAGCTATATAAAAAAAATTACCCCTTTTAATTTGAAACTAGAATTGCCCGCGGCTACGCCCGCGTTCAGATGATAAAAAACTAAATTCTTAGGTTTTAATTATTAGTATACTCTTATATTGCAGTTTTTGTATTTTTTCTCAGAAATGAGATATTTTCTCATAGTAAAAAGTATTCTATATGTTGACCTAGATAACCAGCTATCACCATACCAAATTTCATCCAAATCCCTCTAGTGGTTTTTCTGTGATGCGGTAACAGACAGACAGACAAAAATTCTAAAATTTATTTCAAAAAGATTTTTCAAAAAATATTTAATGTACAGATTCGGCTTAGTTACAATTTTATTATATGTATAGAAGAGGATATACCATAGATTAAGCATATTTAGAACCATCAAGGTATAGTTAAAGTATGAATACTTCGATATTGTAACATTCAACAAAAGTAAATGTCCATTTTTCTTTTATTCCAATTCAAAATCAAACTCTATAAATTGAAGTACGAAAAAACTCCAAAGTCAAATAAGATTTCATAACGTGACCCTTAACTAAAGAAAAGAATTCTAACAAATAAGTCTAACCTGTGCATTCATTAAGAATACAGCTGTGTTTTGTAAAGATCCCGACCGACTTGCCTTCAAATGCAATAACCTATCTCAATACAGGTCGCCTTGAAATAGCTAAGCTATTGAGACTTTAGTGAGACGTGGCATTATTTCCAATTAGAATACAAATAAAAGAGAACCTTCAACTTGAGAATTAAATATGTTAAGGTCAGTAGTACACAGCAAGTACAATGTAGGCTGCATCTAGAGGGCTAGACTGAAATGCTCGTTCATTCAGTTTCTGTGGGGGAGTTCTAAAGGCTTAATATCTGGCTTTCAATATCGTAAGGAAGAGGATTTTAGATTAAAATTAGTCTCAAAATGTCTTCAAATACATATTATGTTATAAATACTTTCTAGGTTTAATATTTTATTTTTATGTGTTAAATAATTTAATTATGGGATAAAAAGTAGCCTATGTATTATTTCAGACTATAATCTATCTCTGTGCCAAATTTCATCCAGATCCGTTCAGTCATTCTGGCGTGAAAGAGTAACAAACATCCATACATACTTACAAACTTTCACATGCATAATACTAATACGGAAACGGATAGTACAGGATTAGTTAAATATGTAATTTATTTTATTTTAAAGACAGCAAATTTCCCATGCCTTACTAAACATCCCTTTCAATATATCTGGTGTAAAAATAACAATAATAACATACATCGCTTTCATTTCTTGGTCCAGACACAAAACGCTTTTCAAATTTATTGT